CTAAACCTTTTTTTACCTGGAAATCTTTTTAAATCCGCAGCTCTGGCTCTTCAGCCAATTGTTTATTTCACACGAAACGGATAGAACATTTCATGTGATTGTGCATCACTGGAACAAAACCAGAATGTGACCATAACTTTTTAGGCTTATGTGTGTTTGTACTATGTCGTCCTAATCTGAACAGGAATGCAGAATGTCAACTATTGTATAAAGCTTTTTCTTCAAGTGTGCAGAATCTGAAGAGCAAATGGTTTTTACTTACCTGCATTAATTGTAATGTTGACTGTATTTTGTAACTTAAGTTTCTGGCCTATCGTACATTTGTTTGAGTCATTTATGTTACTACTGAACTGTACCAGTTACACATGCCTCAATCATAGTAATGTTAGCTTGTTCTAAAGCTATCCATTGTGTCACATACACACCCAAAAGTAAAAAGACTTTCAACATACTGTTTTGATACGTTCTGAAGGATTCTTATTTTGTTTCCTCAAACTAGATCAACTGGGAATCAAACTTGTAGGTGTTTCTTTAGCTATGACATTAAGTAGAATCTTTTATCTGTTCAGGTAATCAAAGAACAACTGACATCCAGCCTATTCCTTTGGGGCCACACAGGGGTAAGAGAGAAGATGAAGAAAACAGAATAAAACAAAGTCAGTGTATTATCCTCAAGGCTCCACGTTACCTTGACTTACTACTTTGTATCCTACAGGGTTTGCAAATAGCATCCTAATAGAAAACACTGCATTTTCTATCTCTTTAATGTTAGTTCTCATATTTGGGGGGAGATTTTTTAAATTTAAGAAGCGTATTTAATTTTTTTAAAATTAAGAGTAAGATTATATTTTTATGAGCCTGACTATATAGAGAGAGATAGTTTGGATGAAGTCTGAAAATCCTAAATGGATGAATAAAATTAGTAAATTTCTTGAATACAGGGAAACCTGTTTATTATACAGATAGAAATAATGTAGAGCTTGCTCATGTATCTTGATTTGACCCATATATAACAGTTTTCAATAAAACAGGAATTATCTTTCTTTATGAAAATCAAGGTACAGTACTACCTTACATTGCATTGTTGTTCGGTGCTGTTGGTTCTGGCTCCTAGTGACCCAGTATACAACATGAAACATTGCTCGGTTCTGTGCCATCCTCAGAGATGTTGCCACGCTTGAGCCCACTGTGGCAGCCACTGTGTCAATCCATCTTCAGTGAACAGTAAACACTGACCCTCTACTTTACCAAGCATGATATCCTTCTCCAGGGTATGGTCCCTTTTGACAGTATGACCAAAGTACGTGAGATAAAGTCTAGCCAGTTTCGCTTCTAAGAAACACTGCAGCTCTACCTCTTCTTGGCTGCTGTTGTTGTTGTTATGTGCTATCGAGTCAGACCCAACTCATAGCGACCCCTCCTTGGGGTTCCGAGGTGGTAGCACTACGGAAGTAGATTGCCCAACCTTTCTTCCAAGGAGTGGCTGGTGGGTTTGAACCACCAGCCTTCTGGTTAGCAGCTCATGGTATTTTCAATATTCTTTGCCAACTCCACAGTTTAAATGCATCAATTCTTCTTCAGTCTTCCTTATTCATGGTCCAGCTTTCACATGCATATGAGTCAACTGAAAATACCATGGCTTCTGTCAGGCGCACCTTAGTCCTCAAGGAGACATCTTTGCTCTTTAACACTTTAAAGAGCTCTTTTGCAGCAAATCTTCCCAGTGGAATATCTTTTGATTTCCTGTTGTTTCCTTTGGTGTTGGTCGTGGATCCAAGTAAAATGACATCTTTGACAACTTCAATCTCTTCTCCATTTATCATAATGTTCCTTAATGGTCTAGCTGTGAGAATTTTTGCTTTATGTTGAGGTGTAATCCATATTGAAGACTAGTCTTTGATCTTCATCAGTAAGTTCTTCAAGACTTCTTTGCTTTCAGCAAGCAAGGATGTGTTGTCTGCATATTGCAGGTTGTTAATGAGTATTCCTCCAATCCTGATGCCATGTTCTTGTTCATATAGTCCAGCTTCTCATATTATTTGCTCACTGTACAGAATGAATAAACTGAATAAGTATAGTGAAAGAATACAACCCTAATACACACCTTTCCTGATTTTAAACCACACAGTGTCCCTTGTTTAGTCTGAATGACTGCTTCATGGTCTATGTATAGGTTCCTCATGAGCACAATTAAGTGTTCTGGAATTCCCATTCTTTGCAATGTTATCAGTAATTTGTCATGATCCACACGGTCAAAAGCCTTTGCATAGTCAATAAAACACAGGTAAACATCTTCCTGGTATTCTCTCCTTTGAGCCAAGATGCATCTGATATCCCTGGTTCCATGTTCTCATATGAATCCAGCTTGAATCTCTGGCAGTTCCCTGTCAATATACAGCTGCAGCTGTTTTTGGCTAATTTTCAGCCAAATTTTACTTGCATGTGATAGTAATGATATTGTTCCATAATTTCCACATTCTGTTGGATCGCCTTCCTTTGGAACAGGCACAAAAAACATTCTCACCAATATATTTTCATTTGTTATTTACAAATGTTATTTTTACATCTTCTTCCTGAGGACAGAGGGTTGCTTTTTGCATTCTGTGAAAATTTTGAAGGAGGTGAGATATAACTTAAATAATTTGACTTATACTGAAATTAAAGATAACTTGTTTAGGAAGGCACAGTTCATCTCACGAACTTTAGTGGTTAAGTGCTTCTTTTATATTGTAAATAAGATCAGGTTACCCATCTTCAGTGGAGCCCTGGTGGCTCAATAGTTAAGCACTTTGCTGTTAACTGAAAGGTTGGCAGTTTGAACCTACCAGTGGCCCCCCTAGTGGTAAGCTCCTGTAATAATTACAGCCTAGAGAACCCTATAGGGCAGTTCTACTCTGTCATATATGGTCACTTTAAGTTGAAATCGACTCAGTGGTACCTAACAATGCCCCATATTCAACCAACTCTTTGATGACAGTGTTTCCTTGAATGGCCTTCTTACCCTGTCTTTGCAGGCAGATGTCCCTCTACCCCCTACTTAGTTCATAATACATTCCCAGACCAGCATCACTAGGCTTTTGTCAGAATTTTAAGTATCAAAATTTTAAGTTACAAAAGAAGGCAGGTCTGTTATGGCTCAAGGTTCATGAAAGCTTTGCACTAGAGAAGCCTTTAGCATCAACCTTGGCCAGTGGTTCACAACCCAACTTCACATTAAAATGACCAGGGCATTTCTTAACAAATAGGGATGCCAGGACCCCACCTCAGAGAGACTGTTCTTAGTGGTCTGGGGGGTGAGGCCCAGCTAGACTTCTTTTTTTTTCAAAAAAGCTCCACAGGGAATTTAACATGATCTAGTCCTACGTCCTTATTTCACATGACACCTAGAGAGGAAAACAGTCCCACCTGTACAGGTAGTGATGAGATGGTTACTATTCACGGTTTCAATTTAGTGTAGCCAGAGGCTAAGCATGCAGGACTGGAGCAAAATGATCACTTAACTTGTAATCTTGAGCAAATTTACTCTCTCCAAGTCTCAGCTTCCTCATCTGTGAGAATGGGAAAATGTCCCTTCCTCATAATGATAAGGTTTAACTAACATAATGCAGGTAAGGTGTTTAGTACACTGCTTAGCTTAAATTAAGCAGTCAGATGGCACCTGCTACTGCTGTCATTCATTCAAAACCCACTTACTGCAATTGAGTCGATTTCAACTCATAGCTACCTTTTACCTCTTTTTTTTTTTTTTTTTTTTTTAAGTAGAACTGCCCCATAAGTTTTCCAAGGCTGTAAATCTTTATGGAAGCAGACTTCCTCATCTTTCTCCCATGAAGCAGCTGGTAGTTTCTAACTGCCAGCCTTTATGTTACCAGCTATATGCTTTAACCACTATATCACCAGAGGTCCTTATTCATTTCAAAGCATTTATTAAATACCCATTAGGTACTACACTCCATGTGGTACATGAACAAGACAGAATTCTTGTCCCTGAAGCTTACCATACAAGGTGGAATGAAGACAATGCAGAAATAAGTCT